GGAGGGGACAATAACGGGGTCACTCCCCCGGGGGACACTCCCGCCGGTCCGGGGGCGGGCACACACCAACGCCAGGACCCCCAGGGCCACCCCCGCCGCTCCGGGGTCGCCACCGCTCTCTCCGCCACTGTCGCCACTCACCGGCGCTGTCGCCATCGTCGCCGTCCCCCGCTCTCTCCAGGTCCTGCCTGCGGCGGATCTCGAAGCGCCGCGACCACCCCGCCTTGGGCTTCCAGAGCTCCTGCAGCAGCAGCGGCCGCTCCCAGTCGCCCACCTCGCGCAGGTGCTCGCCCTGCCAGCCGCCCCCGGCCGCGCCGCCGCCCCCGGGCCGCCCCACCACATCGCAGAGCGCGAATTGCCCGAAATCGTCGGGATTGAGCCCGTAACGCTCCAGCGCCTCCCGCACGAGCTGGCGAGCGCTGGAGCGCGGGGTCGCCAGGACGCTCTTGTAGTTGGCCCCCCTGGAAATCGCCCCCCCGAAGATCTTGAGGATGCACGGGGGTTGTTGTGGGTTCGGGGTCGCGCCGCCCCCCGACCCTAAAATGTCCCCCGAGGGGTCGTGGAGCTCGGCCAGCTTCTTCTCGCTGGCCCAGCGGCCGCCCTGCGGGGTGGCACTGGTGGCACTGGTGGCGCTGGTGGCGCTGGTGGCGCTGGTGGCGCTGGTGGCGCTGGTGGCGCTGGTGGCGCTGGTGGCGCGGTGGAACAGGTGGGACAGGCGCTTGTGCCGGGGGGCTTTGGGTTTGGGAGGGGGCGCGGGCACCGCGGGGCGAGGGTCCGAGGGGTCGCTGGCGCGGCTCGGGGTGTCCGAGGAGGTGGATCTGGGGACAAAAATGGCATCGGGGTGGAAAAATGAGGGGGGAACCCCCAAACGGGTGGATTTGGGGAGAAAAAATGGCATCGGGGTGGAAAAATGAGAGGGGAACCCCAAAGAGGTGGATTTGGGGGAAAAAGGGGGAGGAAATGGGATTTGGGATAAAAAATGAGGGGAACCCCCAAACAGGTGGATTTGGGGTGAAAAAAGGGGGAGGAAATGGGATTTGGGATAAAAAATGGGGGAAATGAGGGGGAACCCCCAAACAGGTGGATTTGGGGGAAAGAAAGGGGGAGGAAATGGGATTTGGGATAAAAAATGGGGGGAAACCCCAAACAGGTGGATTTGGGGGAAAAAAAGGGGAGGAAATGGGATTTGGGATAAAAAGTGGGGGGAAAGGAGACGGCAATCCCAAAGAGGAGGATCAGGAGGGAAAAGGGGGGAGCTGGGAGCGGGACGGAATGGGAGAAAAAGGGAGAAAAAGGGGATGGGAAAACCCCCAACAGGTGGGTCTGGGGAGGAATTCGGGGGTCCAGGGGAGGGTCCAGGGGGATTTGGGGATATTTGGGGATATTTGGGGATATTTGGGGTCGCACCGGACGGAGCCCGCGCTGGGCCAGCGGCGGCTCATCTTGGCCAGGCGTTTTTTGGGGGAATTGATCCAGAGCCCCACGGGGAAATGGAGCTTCCCGAAACGGGGCGAGCCCTCCTTGCGCTCCTCGGGGAGCATGGTCTGCGAAAAGCGGGGAGAGGGCACTTTGGAGACCCCAAATTCCTCAGAAAACAAAAACCTCCCACCT